GGGGAGAGTAGAAGAGCACAGACTCAACAACCCAAACGGGCCGCTTGGTTATTATATACCTTTCTGGTTGTGTTCCTTGTTTTTTCTCCTCCCCTCCCTCCCCACCCCTGTCTCTCCCTCGCACACCCACGAAAGAAAGAAGTTGTGGCTGCCCCTGGAATCTTAAATCTAGGGCCCCCCCCTCCAGGCGTGCAGATAAGCCTTTAGCCTCCCTGGTTCAAAGCAGCAAGAGAGCAGGACCAGGCAAGGAGTCAGGATTCGGGGCTGCAGAGACGCTTGGGACAGTTGGCAGCGCCAGTAGCCACATCTCTTGCGGCTCATTAAAAGAGCCACATCCGTTTCTGATTGGAAACCAGACCCCGGCCCCATAGATGAGTAGGAAACAGCTGGCAAAGACCCTCTACCTGCTAGACTGGATGTGCGGGCGCAGGAAGAGAAACGCCTTCAAGCTGACAGGTGGTCACTGCCTGTATTTTTTAAAAAAGAATAGGATAAGATAAATAGGATAGGATAGAGAATAGAATAGAATAGAATAGAATAGAATAGAATAGAATAGAATAGAATAGAATAGAATAGAATAGAATTGTCAATGGAATGGAATGTAGAATAGAACAGAATGTAAAATTGAATAGGAATAGAATAGAATGTAAAATTGAATAGGAATAGAATACAATGTAAAATAGAATATAGAATATAGAATATGGAAAATAGAATAGAATAGAATAATAGAATAAGAATATAGAATAGAATAGAATGTAGACTAGAATAGAAAATATGGAATAGAATAGGAATAGAACAGAATGGAATAGGAATAGAAGCTCTCAGTGTACACGCAAAGAACAAAGTGATAGGTCATAGATAATAAATTATAGTTATAATAAATCATAGTTATAAGTTAGAAATTGATAAATCATAAACCAGTAAGAGAAAATAGTAGGAAAGACGAGAAATGAGACACAGTGCTGTGAGAATTAAGTGTTCATGAGAACAATGGCACAGAAGGGGGTGTGGGAAAAACTACCTTTATGTCTGGTTGTTTTGGCATGCAGTGCTTGATAGCAGCATCCTGAGTGGAGAAGTTTAGATTATGTCTAAAAACAACAACAATTGAGTGTTGATCTTGGACGAGAGTTGTAAGCCACGTGTTCCCTTTTGTGTGTGTGTGTGTTGTGTGTGTGTGAGTGTGCTCTCTCCATGTTCTCCTCCTGTTTTGGAATTTCACACGGTTTTTTTCCTTTGAATAGCATAGCCTACCGTCGTGTCGTTCGCGTCTATCAGTATGAAGTTGGGGATGATCTGTCTGGAAGGTTTTTCTCCTTTTTCTTACCTCGCTGTGTTTTTATTTTTATTTTTATTTTTTTTACCTTTCGTTTTCTTTTTCTTATTTTTTTTTTTAACTGCACACTCCTAATTTCCTCTAAGGCTCGGCTTTCCTTTTTGTTTCGTTTTCTCGAACTAACCGATCACTACTGTGAGATGCTCTTGGTGGGGAGAAAGGATTGTGGGAGGGGGCCTTTCCCCCCACAAGTTTCACACCCCCCCCCCTTGAAACAGGCCATGTAACTGCTTTGTGACCACTTACCTGCCACGCTGATGATGATGCTTTTAACCTCTTGGCGAGCGAGATTCACCTGTTTTTAAAAAACCGAGCATCCCCTTCTCTTAAGCACCCAGGAATTTTACAACCCGAGCAAAATGAAAAATCAGGTTGCAGAAGAGCAGGTACAGTTTGGGGGGGGGGGGGGGTGAGGGAGGGGTGAGCTTGCCAGCTGATTTCCCCAGCCAAATCCTCTCCACTTCACAGGGGCACCTAGAAAGTGAAGCTCGCCCACACAGTAGCCGAGATGTGATTTTTTTTGTGTGTGCACCGAGTGTCGGTTGTGTTTTTTTTAAGGAAAGGGCTCTGGACTTCAAAGTGAACCAAAACTCAAGCTGCCCTGGGACTCTCGACCACCTTGCCAAGTTTTAATGCTTTGGGATTCAATCTGGGTTTTGAGATTTCCCCTACTAATTTTCGCTTTGGTTCGTTTCCAGAGTTTAAAACCCAAGCTGTGTATTTATTTACTAGACGTTTGGGGAAGCGGGAATAACAATCCTTAAATCACAGTAAAGCAATTTAAGAAGATGGGTTATTTTGGATCACTTCAAAAAGAGCCCCAGGGAAGAAAAACCTTTAAATTACAGTAGAGCAACCCAAAAGATGGATCGTTTTCGATCAAAAAGAGCCCCGGGGAAGAAAAATCTTTAAATTACAGTAGAGCAACCCAAAAGATGGATCGTTTTTGATCAAAAAGAGCCCCGGGGAAGAAAAATCTTTAAATTACAGTAGAGCAACCCAAAAGATGGATCATTTTCGATCAAAAAGAGCCCCGGGGAAGAAAAATCTTTAAATTACAGTAGAGCAACCCAAAAGATGGATCATTTTCGATCAAAAAGAGC